CCTTTGGGGCTTAGTAAGCGGTCCCAGTCTGCCTCGTTTTCGTGTTCCCTGTCCTCCTATAGGTTGTTAGGGCCTGGGTACCGTGTAGACGCTATTTGATCCCTGTCTATACACACTGTAGTGTCCTGGGGAGCTTGGCCGAGTATAAGTGCTCGGACTGAGCCAATGATATGTCCCTGTCCTCGCATAGAGTGCCAGATGCATCATGGGATGCGACAGTATTGCAACCACCATATCTAGGATGGGGAAGGAGCCAACCACCCTAGGTCCGGAGGACCTAAAGGGGCATCGCTTCTCGGCCATTTGGCTAAGCCAAGTGGTTCTAGTTTTATTGGCTTTTTTCTTGTTTGTTTGTGGGGCCTGTCCTAAGTACCTGCCGGGAGGGAACGGCGTGGCCCCCACCCCAAATTCATCGCGGGAGCGGTTCTGGTGCGTTCTAGTGAGTTCGCTACCACAATGTCTAGTTCGTCGAGTTCTTTAAATGTTCAAGCGTCTTGGGCTGATCAAGATGTTGATTTACCTCATGTCTCTGGAAATCCGGGGGGTGCCGCTGGCGCCCCTGCCGCTGCCGTAAGTTATGCTGGTTGTACAAAGAGGAACCTACCGGAACAGGATGTGGAACTCACTCATGAGGAGAGGGAATTGTATGATCGTTATTTAAGCAGTTCCAAGTTTGAGAAGGACAACTTCCACCCGTACAATACTCCACCGGAGCGTCCCTGTTCAGCGTTTTTCCACCTGCCAGAACACTTAACAACAGTTAAGGATATTTTTGATGGCCTTCTACGCGACGGTTTCCCTGCTTCTTCCGTCAGATGTCTGCAACGCCTCCCTAATGATGGAGTTCTTGTTACCTTCTCCTCCGAAGAGGTGCGCAATCGTTTTCTTCGCAAGTCATCTCTGATCATCCGTAAGCGTATCTCCGTGGTCCACCCAGCTTCCCGACGTCTCACTTTTGTGAACGTGTATGACGCTCCCTACGAGCTTCCTGATTCAGCCATTGAAGAACGACTTAAACCTTATGGTAGGATCTACTCGCACCGTCGCGGCAAGGTCCAAGGCTATCCTGATGTGTTTAACGGAGTCCGTCACCTACGCATGGCCCTAGAGGATGACATACCTTGCTTCCTCCGATTTGGTCGTTTTCAAGTTCGTGTTAAGTACGAGAATCAACCAAAAACCTGCCGCAAGTGTAATTCGCCTGACCAACTCGCGAAAGAATGCACAGCTGTAGTCTGCTTTAACTGTGACGGCACTGGTCATCTTTCCCGCTCCTGCCCAGACGGGATGCGCTGTTGCATCTGTAAGTCCAAGGAACATGTTGCGGTTGACTGTATCCATTCTTGGTACCGTAGGCCGCAAACCATTGATCTGGCAGATGACTTAGCTACTGGAGATCCTGAAGATGCTCTCGATGGCCGCCCGGTTGGAGATGGCCCTCCCCCTCTGGAAGAACTTCCTGAAGATCCTCCCGCTGCTTCTAACGAGAATGCTAGCCCTCGGCCTACAGATAACAGTGCTGCCCCCCCGTCTTCTGCCGAGGTCCATGTCCTGGACTCTCAGGGTTTGGTCCTGCCCAACACCCCCCATGCTGATGAGGTGCTGGCCGACCTTTTTTCTTCTAATGATGATGTTAATGATGATGGAGATGATGGTGATGAAGGTGAATTTTCCACAGCCGATGATGATGATGAGGAACTGGAAACTGAGGAGGAAGACTCTGAAGCTGAAGATCCTGATACCGCGACAGAAGCCTTGACAACACCTCCATTTCCGAGAATGCTGCCTTGGCTGCTGTATTCAAGAAAACGCGTAAGAATGTTAAGAAACGATTAGGGGACCGCTTACCGCAAAGGGGGGATCGGATCCTGGCCCTCCTGTTAGGAAGGCCACCCGACCCGCCCTTGTCACTTCGCGGAAAGCTGGTCCGAAATAGATTTTGCTTAATTGTGTTTTTAGATTAGTAGTCACTTGAATCCTTTTCCGTTCAAGTCTATTTCGCTTAATGCAAGAGGCTTTGAGAAAAATGCTGATGCGTTTTTTAATCTAATTCGTAAGAGCTATGGTTTTGGTTTTTTTCAGGAGACCTTGATTTCCGACCAGAAATCAATCGCCTCCTTATCCTCTCGTTGGGGTGGTAAAAGCTTTTGGTCCCCTGCAATTGGGAAGCAAGGTGGTGTTCTTGTTTTAATTAATGATCGTTTTGATTGCGAAGTCCTTTCCTGGAAAAGGGATTCAAGTGGACGCCTTGTTAGTCTACTTATAGCTGTTGATCGTAGTAAATTTAATCTTGTGTGTGTCTATGCTCCTACAAACCTAACTGAACATAGAGAATTTTTTCTGAGTTACACGAATTTTTTATTCCGGCGGAGGGTCTTGTTCTGGGAGGTGATTTCAATTGTTATGACAGCACTCTTGATAAACTCAATGGTAATGTTAACATAAACAATGAATTTAAAGACTTAAAATCTACCTTTCACTTAGTTGATGTCTGGCGTAAATCGCATCCTGGGGTTCGTGAATTTACTTGGTTTAATTCGGACTACTCGATCGCTAGTCGTCTTGACAAGTTTTATTTATCTTCTAACATTGCCAATTTGTTTTTGTCCTCTTCAATCATTCCCTGCTGCTATTCTGATCACGATTATGTTGATTTGCACTTAGACTTTTCCCTCTTTTCCCCCCGGGGACCTGGCATTTGGAAACTTAATAACTCTCTCTTGGATGATTCTGATTTTTGCGATTATATCCGTTCCCGTATCGTCGATCTTTCCTCTAGCATTTCTTGTTTTCAGTCTATCTCGTTTTGGTGGGATTTTTTTAAAGAGTCTATCAAGAGTGATTGCATGTCATTTGCTAAGAATAAGCGCACTGAATTATCGCGTGAGAAGGTTGTTTTGACCAACCGCTTAATTAATTGTAAACGATCCTTAGTTCAAGGCGATTTGTCAGTTCGATCTGAAATTACCTCCTTAGAAGCGCAACTAGCAGCCCTCACGAGGGCTGAGATTGAGGGTGTTAAATTAAGAAGCAGAACTCGTTGGTTAGAGGAAGGCGAAAAGCCTACCCGTTTTTTCTTTAAGTTAGAACAAGAGCGCGCTGAAAAACACCGTGTTTCTGCTATGCTCGATTCTAACGGTAATGAAGTTACTGCACGTGTTGACCTTGAAAAGGTACACGTGGACTTTTACCGTAAGCTATTTGCATGTGAAGAAGTCGATCCTGTGTGTCAACAACACTTATTCTCTCAGTTAGACTTGAAATTGTCTCCCGAGGAGTCTGCTTCTTGTGATGGTTTTGTCTCCTTAGAGGAGTTAACTACCTCTGTTAAAAGTTGATCCTTAAACAAATCTCCTGGGGCGCTTTCCATTTAGCCAAAATTTCCGGTTTGTCATTCCGGAAAATTTCCAGTTCAAATGGAAAGGCCTTTTCCCTCCCAGGAATAGAGCCTCGTTTTGAGTCCTACACTTGACATTTCATTGGTTAATCGCTGACGCGCAACAAAACAAAATGGACGACAATGTCGCAGTTCCTCTGATTTGCGACTTTCTCGTCAATTGTGACGAGGAAATTGAAAGGTTTCTAAGGAATGAAAATGATTTTGACTTTGTGGCGATAGCGGGGGTGTCCTGCTGCTTCGTTCGTAGAAACTTAACGCGAATTCAGAATTATTTTGAGTCTACAGTAAGTAATTATTTCGGGGATGAGTTCGCGGCGCATTTTAGGATGACTCGGACCACCGCAGAGTTATTGACAAGGGAAGTGATAAACACTGGCAGAATACCCTTAGGAAATCCTTTTGGAAGGCCATCAATCCCACCAGAGAAACAAGTATTGGTCTTCCTATGGGCACTGGCGACCCAAGAGAGCACGCGAGAAATCACCGACCGATTTGACATCACGTACAGCAGTGTTTCTCGGACTGTTGTTCGAGTTACTGAAGCCGTTTGTGGCCTTAAGAACCAGTATATAAGATGGCCAAATGGTGAGTAAAGTATACAACCTCTTACCATGGTATACCCGAACGAAACTTTCGTTGCAAAGGAAAGGCTTTCGATAGGTCAATACATTTATGTTAGTCTCGATTAGAGAGTGCTACAATAACTTGCTAACATGAGTGTTATGAAAGTTTGCACATACATATATATGTATATAAATAGACAACCTTGTAAATATTGGAATCGGCTATATTTATATAGAATTAATAAAAGGACATACCGTCAATTCGGTATGTTTTTTACTCTAGCAAAAATTAAAAATGTTTATTTCAAGTGTATTTTTTACATCATGCTAGGGCATAAGATCAATGAGGTCAGGGCAGATTTTGGTGACACATTTCCAGGAGTCATTGGTGCCATTGATGGAACCCTAATTCATATACGATGTCCATCAGAAAACAAAGAAGCATATAATTGCAGAAAAAGATTTTATGCTTTGAACGTTCAGGTACAAGTATTTGCTTGTTATTTTAGGAGTAAATGCCATTGTTTTACCTTAACTGTGCCTGCAACAGTTTACTGTATACTGTAAACTTATGTCCGGTTCACTTATAATAGCTTGAATACCTTGTCATCAGTAGATAATTTAAGTCTAAGTTTTAAGTTTTTAAAATACAGCAAAAATGTGACATTATTGTTTCCCAAATGTTTTAGAATGTCCATGTTCATTGATTTAAACTTCACCCTATATTTTCTCAAAAATGCTCTCATATAAACTCTTAAAATTATGCACCACTGTTTTTTCTTAAAATTATCCTGCACTGTTCTTTCTCCTTTGCCGATGTGACCTTCAATGTCGCTTGTCTCTATGCCCCTAACCGGAACCCGGCGAGGGACCAATTTTTTGATTATGTTTTGGATGTCGTGAACCCCGACCCGCCGACGATCTTATGTGGGGACTTTAACACGGTCTTCGATCGTGGTTTGGATCGGTCTGGGTCGGATGTGAATGACTCATCACGTGAGAGTACCCCGTCTTTGATTCGACTCTTTGATGCCTGTATGGCTGTTGACATTTGGCGTGTTCTGAATCCATCTAGCAGGTCCTTTTCTTGGCTTCGGCCCAATGGCGCTGCTGCTTCCCGTATTGATTTAGTTGGCCTTCCTGTTTCCTGGGTCCCTTTTGCGGGCTCTTGTGATCTTCTCCCTTGCCCCTTTTCAGATCATTGTGCGGTGTCGTTGTCGGTTGCTGTCCCACAGGTCCTCACTCGTGGTCCTGGTGTCTGGAAGCTGAATGTTTCTGTTTTGGAGGAGGACGACTATGTTTCTCTGATATCCTCTTTCTGGGCTTCCTGGCGGGTGAAGAAATCTGATTTTGTAACGGTCATGGATTGGTGGGAGGTCGCTAAGTCAAAGATCAAGGGCCTAACAGTGACTTATTGAAAGAATAGAGCTGAGCGTCTCCGTAATCGCCGTGACCTTTTAGTTCGGCTTGTTTCTCATCTCAAGGGGCGGGTAGATGGCGGTCACTCTGATTGTGTTGGTCCGTATCAGGCTGCTCTCGCGGAGCTGAAACAACTTGATCTTGTGGATGCAGAAGGGGCTCGTGTGCGAGCTAGAGTCAGATGGGTTGAGGAGGGTGAATGCTCCTCGTCGTATTTTTGCAAGCTAGAGAAGAAGCACCGTAGTGAGAGTTGTATCACTGCCCTCCGGGGTTCGGACAATGTTGTTTATACTGGGGCTGAGGGCATTCAGTCTGTCCTGTCCTCGTTTTACGCTGACCTTTTTTCGAAGGAGGATACTGACCTTACTGTGCAGGCTTCCCTCCTGTCCAATGTCTCTGATAGAGTCCCCGCTGATCGGGTTGGTGATTGCGAAGGTCCGCTTTCTGTTGCTGAGTGCTTTGCTGCTTTGTCCGGTATGGCGAGGGGTAAGGCCCCGGGTATAGGCGGACTTCCGATGGAATTTTATGTGAAATTCTGGGGTGTGCTTGGGGAGGACTTAGTTGAGGTTTTAAATTTTTGTCATCAGGCTGGTTTTCTTGCTAAGTCCCAAAGGCGCGGCCTCATCACGCTCACTTTTAAGAAAGGGGATCGCCTTGACCCCCGCAATTGGAGGCCTATCACGCTCCTTAATGTCGACTATAAGATCGCCTCCCGTGCGATAGCCGGACGTCTCCTTAAGGTGATTCACTTTGTGGTGGCCGAGGATCAGACGTGTGGGGTGCCGGGCAGGTTCATTGGTGATAGTGTTTCTTTGTTAAGGGATGTTGCCCATTTCGCCTCCACTAGTGGGTCCTCTGTTGCAATTCTGTCTTTGGACCAGGAAAAAGCGTTCGATCGTGTGGATTGGAGCTTTTTGCGCTCCACTTTGGTCTGCATGGGCTTTGGTCCCTCCTTTATTAGCTGGGTTGATCTTTTCTACGCCGGTGTCCAGAGTGCCGTTAAGGTTAATGGTTTTGTCACCCCCTTTTTCGGCCTTTCCCGTGGTGTTCGGCAAGGCTGCCCCCTTTCGCCTCTATTGTATGTTCTTTATGCGGAGGTCTTAGCTTGTAACATTCGTTCTAACCCTGTTATTACCGGTCTCTGCCTTCCGGGTTCTCCAACTCCCTTGCCTGTCCTTTCTTAGTACGCGGATGACACGTCGGTCATCGTTACTTCTAACGCTGTTATTGTTGTTGCCTTTGCGACCTACAAAACCTTCGAGAGAGGTTCTTGTTTAAAGCTAAATTTGGACAAATGTAAGGGTCTGTGGTTGGGTGGCTGGAGTGGTCGTGACGACCTTCCTTTGGATCTGCAGTGGTCGTGTGCGTGGGTCAGAGCTTTAGGTGTTTAAAATGGCCCCTTTAGTTTAGAAGAGGAGAACTGGAGGCCGAGGATTCCCGCGGTTGAGAACTGTTTGAAGGCCTGACGTTTGCGGAGGTTGTCTTTTCGGGAGCGGGCTATTGTTATTAACGCCTTAGCTCTTTCTCGCATTTGGTATGTGGCATCCTTGATCCCGATGCCTGTTTGGGTGCTGGCATCTCTTAATAGGTTGATTTTCCCCTTCTTTTGGGGTGGTAAAGCTGATCTTGTCGCCAGGGATGTTGTTATTCAGTCTCCGGACTTTGGCGGTTTCTCCTTAGTGTCCGTTCAGCTGAAAGTGTGGGCCCTTCATGTTCAGTGGGTTGGTCGCTTCGTTAGGTGTTTCTCTGCTTGGATGCAGTTTTTGTTCTATTACACGCGGGTTTTGTATGGCTCTACACCGGGTGATCTTTTGTCTTACCCACGACGTGTCGACTTTAGTTCCCTGCCTCCCTTTTATCAGGCGGTCTTGTCTGCCTGGGTCGCCGTGGATGGAGGTTTCTCCGCTCCTGCTGATACGTTGGTTGTGGCCTCTTCTTCGGTTCGTACTCCCGTCTCGGCAGTCTCAACCAAGTCCACTTACTCTCTCCTTTTGGAGTTCCATCGTCGCGAGCCAGCTTGTGTTGTTAGTTTTGGTCGTGTGTTTGGCCCTCTTTATTGACCCTCCACCTGGGTTCAGCTGTTTTGGTTTAGTCTTGATCGCCCAGTGATTGATGTCTCGTGGAAAATTGCCCACGGGGTTCTTCGGACGGGCCAGCGCTTAGTCTCTACCTTTGGGATGTCTCATATCCCCATTGCCTGTTTCTGTAATCCCTTGTCGACCGAGTCTCTGGAACATCTGTTTTTCTCATGTCCGCTTGCTCAGGCTGTGCTATCCTGGCTTCAGTCCCTCATGTCCCGCTGTTCTGCCCTCATTCCGTCTTTGTTGTGTCGACATGTACTGTTTGGCTTTAACAGTGACGAACTTCGTGTCGTCCCTCGTGGGTTTGTGTATATTCTCAATGTGTGCAAGTATTTCTTGTGGTCGGCCCGTAACGATTATCGTTTCCGAGACATCGTTCCCAGTTCTGGTACCGTGTGTGCTCAGGTGTGTGCTCGGGTTCGTTTTCACCTTCCCCTGCTCTTCAAGCGTTTCCGTTCGTCTCGTCGCCGTCGCTATTTTGTTCGCCAGTGGGGTGCTCGTGGCGTTGTTGCTTCCGTACTGGATGGTCGGTTAGTTGTTCACTTGTGACTCTGCTATTCTGCTTTTGTATTTTGTTTATGTTTCTTCGGTGCACTTTGGCGTTGCTAAATTGTCCCTTGGTGTACTTTGGTGTTGGTTAAATTATTCTTTGGCGTTGTTAAATTGCCCTTTGTATTTCCGTCTGTTATGTTGTCTCTTGTAATTTTGGGTTATTACGTTGTCTCTTGGTGGTCTGGCGCTGTTGGTTAGGTCTCTTGGTTTCTTTACCTGTGTTAAGCCCTGCTGGGCGGGGTTTGGTGGGCGACCATCTCTGTATTCGTCTCTTGGTGTACTTTGGCGTTGTTTAAATTGAATTTCTCTTGTTGTTTTCTTTTTCTTTTTGTCTTAACTGGACGTTGGCCCCTGCGTTGCTGCCTGGCCCTTTTGTACCATCAGATAGCGCGCCATCAGTTTCGTGGGGTGTTTTTCGGTTGTTTAACTTTTGTTTTAGTTAGCCTTAGATAATGCAATTAGAGAATGTACAGTCCGGTGTCGTTTAGTGATGCGGTCTGGTGTCTGTGTTTTTTGTGGTAAAATGGGTGCCTTGGCATTGCACTCCGCCTTGGATGCCCGCCTCGAAACAAAAAAAAAAAAAACTTACCTGACGCTCGCGACGCGCTCCTTATACCATTTTTGGTGTAGGTTTGCTCGCTTGTGGTAAGTGTTGCTGTGTTTTCCTGGTGCGTGTTCTTCCCTTCGTGGATACCGCCTCTGGACTTTGCAGTTTTTGGTGGCCTTTGCCTTGCAGTGGTAGTTTGGCTCCTTGGTTCACGGATCGGTTTTTGTAAGTTTTTACTCTTTTTTGTATTATAGTTGGGTTGCCCCCCCGGTTCCGCTTTTAGTGGGCTTCGGGTGGTCCCCCCGTCCCTTGTTGGGCGTTGCCCATAAGGGTTTTTTGGGTCTCTCTCTTTTTTGGTTTGGTCGGGCTTTTTGGTCGCCCTTCTCCTTTTTTCCCCCACCCGTCAGGGCTTTACTTTTTTGGGTTCGGTTTTGTTATGTCTCGTGCGCGCACTTTTCCGTGCACTGTCTCTGTTGATGTTTCGGGCCTTGCGTCCCAAGGCTCGTCCCGCCCAGATGTTGTTTCGGCCATTGTTGATCAATTTGGGACTATGCCAATCGCGGCTGTCCAGTTTTTTGGCACTGAAGCCAAGGTTACTTTTGAGCGGCAAGAACATAAACGTAGTGTTATGCAGCACCAATCTGTTTGTATTAGGGGGGTGGATTGTGACATTCGTGGTGGGGGTCCTCGCCCTCAAAATGTTCTCATTTATAATTTCCCTTTTGAAATTGGGCATGATGTTGTCAAGACTGCTTTAAGTTTTTTTGGGGATGTTGAGTATGTTCGTTTCCGTCACTGGACCCACCTTACTGATGTTTGTGACGGTGTCCGTACTGTGAGGATGGTCCGTACTCGGGCTATCCCCCGTAATTTGATTATTGACGGCTTCCCGGTGAAGGTTTCGTATGTGGGCCAAGAGCCCGAGTGTGACATCTGTGGGAAGAAAGGGCACATTGCACGATCTTGTGATATGCGGGGAAAATGTATGGAGTGCAAACAGCCTGGGCATTTCCAACGAAATTGCCCGGTGCGTCGTCGTCGTCTTGCTAATCCTGATCTTGACCTCCCTGAGGTTAGTGAGTCTGTTGTTTCCGTTCCCGGTATGCCTGAGTCTGCCTCTGCCGGGGCTGCCACTGTTGTTGTTGATTCTGCCCCTGTGGGCCTTCGGGCTGAGATCCCGGATGGTGCCGGCTCTTCGGAGGCGGGGGATGCCTCCTCCCAGGCTGTTAGTCAGTCGATTCTGGCTGGTGTTTCCGCTCCCTGTGATCTGAGTGAGTCTGTTGACTCCCGTGATAACCAATTAGACGAGCTTGCTTCTCTGGGGTCCATTGGCGCTGGTACAAATTGTTCTGACTCCTTGTTTGGAGCGGTTATTACTACCCCAAATTCCAATTTGTCTGGGGACCACCCTCCAAATTCTGATTTGTCTGTAGTTAATGTCAATAAATCTAGTGATAATGCTATTAGTAATGACATAGTTAATAGTGGCAATAGTGGTATTAGTAAAGACATAGTTAATAGTGAATCAAGTAAAAGTGGCAATAGTGGCATTAGTAATGACATAGTTAATAGTGAATCCAATATGAATGACGACAGTAATGGTAGTGATATGCAAAGCAATAATGACATTAGTTCTGTAGATAATGATGAAGTTAACGAAAATGTCTATGAAACTAGTAGTGAGGGTTTGTTATCTGATGAGGACTCTGGTGATAATGATAGTGATGATGAGGATGAACCTGGTGTTAATGTTCCTACTGTTAATATTGTCAGTCCTGGCTCTAGCCTGTCTGGCCTCTCTGGCTTGTCGGGTGGTCGGCCTCCTCAGTCTAGATTGCCTGTTGCTGTGGGCAAAGGCTCTAGCTCTACCATCAGTTCCAAAATTCCTAAGGTTCCGGGCGCAGGGGTTCGTAAGGCCAGTGGCTCCCGCCCTACTGGTCTTAGTTTGGGTATGCGTAAAGCTGCTGAGGATTGGGGTGAGTTGTCTCAACGCCGCAGATGAGATGGCGCTGTCTATAATTACTATTAACGTTAATGGGTTGCGGGATGCTGGTAAACGTGCAGGTGTAGTGCAGTGGCTCCAGGCTCTGCCTTCTCCTATTGACATTGTGTGTTTGCAAGAGGTCCATTGCACGTCGGTTGAGGAGTGCACTAGGTGGTTTTCCTCCTCTGGCCTCTTTTGTGTAGTGTCCTCGGGTTCCGTTCACTCATGTGGTTGTGTAGTCTTGTACCGCCCTCGCTTGTCTCTTGTTGTTTCTTGGTCAGATGCTGATGGTCGTTTTGTACAGTGTGAGTTCTCTTTTCAGGCCAAGCTCTTTCGGGTCGCGTGTATTTATGCGCCTAACCGGAATCCTGCTCGGGACACTTTCTTTTCGGATGTGGAGGGGCGTGTTGATCCCTCAGTCCCTACCTTGCTCTGCGGTGATTTTATCGCTGTTTTTGACCGCCTTTTGGACCGTGTTGGCTCGGACCCTTTTGATACTGCCCGTGAGAGCTCAGTTGCGCTTTCACGTCTCTTTTCGTCCTGTTGTGTTCTCGACATCTGGCGCTACCTACATCCGTCTTCCAACAGTTTCACCTGGTCGAGATGGAACGGCCTTGTTTCCTCTCGTATTGATCTTTTTGGGGTTCCTTTCTCTTGGGTTTCTGCTGTCTCTGCCTGTGATATTCTTCCTTTCCCGTTTTCTGACCACTGTGCGGTTCAGTTATCTGTCTCTGTCCCTGAAGCCATTGTCCCAGGTCCTGGGCTCTGGAAGTTAAACCTGGCGGTTCTGGATGAACCGGAGTATGTTGCCTTAATCTCTGCTTTCTGGGCCTTTTGGCGTTCGCGTGCCTTTGCTTTTTCTTCCCTGGATGATTGGTGGGATGAAGGAAAGCGGGAGATAAAGTGTCTATCTATTGATTATTGCAAAAAGCGTGCGTCTGCTAGGAGAACAGAGAGAGACCTCCTGGTCCGGTTAGCTGAGTTCCTGAAACAGCCTGTGGATTCTGGGGCTATGTTCTGTTTTGGTCCTTATCAGTCTACTCTGTCCAGCCTTGCCAAGTTCGACCTGGAGGCTGCGCGGGGTGCCCAGGTCCGCAGTCGTGCCCGCTGGGTTGAGGAGGGTGAGTCCTCCTCTGCTTACTTTTTCCGTCTGGTAAAGAAGCAAGGGGCTGATCGTTTAGTGTCTGCCCTGCGTCTTGATGATGGTTCTATTGTCAACTCCGCTCC